AAAGGTCAAACAGCTAGTTTGGTTCAAAAACCATACTTCGTCGCATTATCTGGCAGAGCCTCCCCAACTTCATTTCAATCTTCCCATAACACAGCGTGCGCTCACTTTTATTCAGGACACTTCATGTAAGTTATTTGTAAATACTTAAGCAGGCTCTGCGGAGGAGAGAGCATTTATTACGGAGTTAGGAATCTAGAAAGGGGAGACTACAAGTTTTATTGGTAAACAGAAGAGATGGGTATTATTATTAACATATCGTACCCCCGGCCCACCCAATGTCTGCCCGGATTTCAGCTTTTCCCAAGGGCAGTCCTTCTGATCGACACTATATCATTATCAAATTAAATGGATCCTGGACCAGCTATAGTAGAACCAATGTTATGGCTGGGGTCATCTAACATAATACTTAACACAAGTAGTTCAATATTTCATTGGGTGAAACAAACTTTCTTTTAAAATCACAAGCTTGTAAAATTTCAATAAAGTTCAAAGTTCAACACTTCCATACTGTGGAAATGTTATACCTAAAAATTACCTAAAAAAAAGTTCAATTTCCAAAGTTTTGCAATTCCATAGAATAGGGAAATTTTCCAGAAAATGCGTGGAGATTTTCTAGAAAAAACCTGGAAAATCAAAATATAGAAATGGTTCGAATTGTCTAATTGAAACCCAGTGAAGGCCAGAAATATAAATTCCCTGCAGGGCATCATCGGTTTTGGCAGGGCAATTCTGACAGACACCCCCCGAATTAAAAGGCCCTACTTTCGCCCCTGGACACTATGACGCTTATACTTATATTACCTACTAAGTTTAGACTATTTATTTTTACAACAGTTTTGATATTACTTTCCTAACTATCTTTATCCTAACCCGCCGTGTCAACTTTCCTTGTGAGAGGAAACCGGACGCCCTGAAAAAACCCACGACTTTCGGCAGAGCATTGACTGACTCTTTTGACATGAGTCCAGACATTTATCTCGTACCTAGCGTATTAGCGGCTTTCCTATTGGCTACGAGGAGGTGCGTTCAATCTCGAACCCACCTGCTGACGTATGTTTAGGAGGTGGGTTCGAGATCGATGTTTCGGCGGCGGCCATTATGAAGCGATTTGAACAAATTTCAGACGAAGATTTAAATAAAAAAGTAAATTAACTGTTTTTAATTGTTTTATAATTATTATTTTTTTATTTTGTGTGATGCAAATGGAATATTCTGTATTCAAAGTGAAAGAGAAGAAAGATGGCCGCCGAAATTTGTTCGGCACGGGCAGGTTTATATAAAACTTGGCATTGTTTTCGCAGAAAGTGTTCATTTTCTCTTTTCAAGAATAAGGGGGTATTGTAGAGCATTTTTTTAGCTTTAATTTAAGCCTAACTTTGTTTGTTTGCGTAGTATGTTGGCGGCTAAAATGTCGTTATCCAAACAGGAATTAAATACTAAAAAGTAAAATGCGTATAAAATTCTTCAGTACTTTTTAGTATTTTACCGAAATGGCATGTGATAAAAACCAAACATACTAGTCTTGCAGGTTCGGTGAGTCCGGGATTGGACGCACCTCGGGTGGCTGGAAGTTTCCCGAACTCACCTCGCTTCACTCGGTGAGTTCGGGAAACTTCCAGCCACCCTCAGTGCGTCCAATCCCGGACACACCTCCCTGCATGCAAGTATGTTTGTTATAGAGTCCATAGCGAGAATCGAACTCACGATCTTAGAGATGAAAAGCGCTTGCTCAGACTATGGCGCCACAGAAACCCCTATGTAGTTAAGTTGTGTGCTTGATTTACACAGGACAACTGAGATTGTAAGCAGGTTGCATGCGGCAGTTTTAGGCAAAAGTCGTGTGTAAGTCGGCCTTAACATTAACTATAGTTGTGGCTGTTGTGTAAAGATCTGGAACATATTAACTATAATGCATTTTGGGAGACTCAGCATAATGATCGTATTTTTATTTTATTATATTTGTATTTTTTTATTATAGTCATACGTTAAAGTCACATTACAAGAGCAAATCACTTTTTCGATTAAATAGCACGGATGAAAATCACATTCAGACCTCCACAAATGGCAATTTAGATGATAGCTGTAAATTGATTTCTGTGCAGCCTGTGTGCACAACTATCGCAGACGAAGCGGAGATAGGTAAGCTTTGACAAAACATATCGTTTTAATAACTGTTTTTTAGTGACGTGTTCAAAAATATACAACGACCAAGTACTTCCTTCGTTTTACAGTTAATTATTCACATTTACAGAACCTTTTCAAAGCTATTGTGAAAAATATTACGGAGAAAGACGGCGTTTCAAAGTTCAAATAAAGATTGGTTTTTAGTACCATACACCTGTAGTAGAAAAGAGCTTGTATTAATCCCTGATAACTGTATAGGCAACGGACACCATTTTGGTGTCACGTTGTATTTATTTATTTATTTGGCTTTGCCAACTAGGGCAGGGTCACCACAACAGCATATGACAATTACTGTGGGCCCTTTTACTTAACCCACCCTGTCAACTTTCCCTGTGGGCGGAAACCGGAGTACCCGGGGAAAACCCACGGCTTTCGGCAGAGCGTTGACTTTTTACTCTTTTCACGTGAGGACTGGGTTCGAGTCGCATTGAGAACGTTCTCACTGAGATTTGAACCTGCGACCTTAGAGGTGAAAGGCAAGTGTGTTAACCACTTCCCCACCGCGAAGCCCACGAAAAGCGAGCAATGAAAAATACTAGGGTCTGTGGGTATGCAAGCAACCTAAACACGTCCATTAGGATCAGCAGAAAAAATGATGTTCGGGTGGGAAACCAGACCCACACGATATTTTTTGTCTATTAAGTTTTAGTTTGTGGCAGACAGAGTGGGAATACAAAATTGCTTGTTTTCAATATCAAGTAGCGTATTATCTGAAACCTTTCAACTCCCGGGCGGAAGAGTTAGCATTGATGGGATACGTGAGTGTTAGGCGCCAATTGCTGCTCGCTGAATGGCGTTCAGCAAAGACCTTCTGGAGAAAAAAACTCGAGATTTCGAGGGAAGATAGAAAAAAACATAGGATCTTCGCTTAAAACGGCAAAGTTTATATAAATTTCAGGGACCGGTTGTATGAAACTCTTAACTATACTTTTTTACCACTAGGTCGTATATTTAAATAATAGTTAACGCCATTTTGATTGCATGGTTCACCTTTCACGTCATTTTTCTGGTAATTGTCAAGTTATTTCAAAACCTTCGACACCAATATTTTGCATGCGTAATTTTTCTCTATTTTTGCAGATTCTGTTCAGCATGACATTGTTGTGTCCATACCATGTACAAATGTTTACGATGTCCACAAATTTTCCAAGAACTCAAAAGACCCAAGACTGATGGGGTTAACTGACGGAATTGAACTCATGTGCAGTACATTGCAAATCTACAAGGTAAATTTATTTTATGAATGTTTATGAGTGCAATGGTAAAATGTTTTGTGAAGCAAAGAATTTTCCAAAGAGGGATTTTGGTAGAAACCAGGCATAGTACTAAAATGCGGTGCCCTAAGAAAAAACTTTCCGCCGAAAAGAGTTGTCAAGGATCAAACTTACTGGATTGTCAATTAGTTTAATCTTTTTGAGAGATTCGTCAACAATACAATTTCGTTTTTCTTTCAAAGGCCATAAATCTCTAGAGTATTGCTGTTCAGAAATAAATTAGGCATCCACATTGTGAGTAAAATCTTTTTACGCTGATTCGAACGGTGGTATTTTTGTCCCAGAATGAGAGATAAGGCGCAGTCGGTCGTTAGAGTCCGAGGAAATTTTCCCATAAAAAAAGGAAATTCAGAGAACTTTAAAGAAATTTTTGCTAGGCGGTTGTGGAAGGATTTGAATGATTCCGCACAAACTGACAAACTACTGTAATTAATCCGCTCTCGAGCAGAATATAAAGCAGTGCCAAACTTGACAACACCGTAATGCTGGGGTGGTGGGAAAATGTTAGAGAAGCTGCACTGGGATGCTGGCGCTTAGAACGTAGCCCTCTCTCTGACTCAAACTTAACCGTTCCTTTTTGTTATTCACTAGCAAGGCCGGATTTTGGTGGAAATAGTGGGGGAGGTGTAAAAAATATTAGTGGAGGTGCACAGTGTACATGTGTATCAGTGTATTAATGAATTGTGATTATACAATTAACTCATCCAATTTTGCCCCTCGTTACAATTACTACAAAGTTTTCAAAACATTGCTTTAAAAGGGTACTTGACACAGACATGAATGGCTATCACTGTTTCAATTTTACAGAAAAAATTTCGTACGAAGTGTAGACCCTAAGCAACCAAAAAATGTAACATTTTTACTTTGATTTTTACTTTACTAGTTGTGAAGGATCACTAAACTCACTCGTTTGTTTAGCGATCCTAATTGACAACTCGTAAATAACTATCGTACGTACTCACCAACTGTGATATATAGGTATAATAGCATGGTTTCGAGTGCAATGTGGGAAAACATATGTGAGTTTTGCAACGGTCAACTTCAAGTCTTTATACATCAAATAATTATGCTGAAGTAAATTCATCATTTGCATGGGTCAAACACATGCGAAATATATAATTTACTCACTTTTGCTGCGATTGTTATAGTGGATTTCTTCTTCTGGTGCATGTAAACGTGTAGATGAGTGTGAATGTTCTGAGTGTATGAACCCCTATCTGAACATATTCATACCTCATCCATCGTTCACATCCATGCACCAGAAGAAAAAAATCGCACCCAAAATCGTAGCAAAATTGCAAGTGTAAACGGACCTTAACTTCTAACTTTTCTCTTTTAGTTCTGTCTGCCACAAAAATCTGATTACAACGCAGATAAACTTACTGCGATATTCTCAAAGTATACAAAACACCTCGTAAGTATTAATTTATTATTAGAAATAAAATAGCGTTATAGTGTTTACTTTTAGAAATTAGATCTTGGGTGGCGGCATCCTCATATAATATGAATATTACATGAATATGACATAATATAGATGAATATTAAATACACACCTTAAGGTGTGAAAAAAGATATGAATAGAACTCTATAAAATACGCCATTTTGATTGGTTAAACTTTTATTAGGAAGGTCTTTCTTGACTCTTTTGATCTATAAGAATTTAGTGTAAATGCACTGCGTATAATTATAATTATTATATTAAAATGTAAAAATGATTTCAAAAATTGTGTTGTAGCGTGATGTTCAATTAAAGCACATGAGGATCGACCGAAAATCTCACATTGAAATTGCAGTGACTTCTATAACGTCTTCCTTTGTATTTCGCCTATTTGAACAATTAACTGACAACCAAAATTTTGTGAGAAAACTGGAATTGCAAGAAAATCTCGTAATACAGTAGTTGTAATCGAGAAAAGTGTGTTACTTGTTTAAAACACTCTGGAACCCAAACTAAGTCAATTTTTTCTTATTTTAATTGATATTGTATACCTAACAATAAGTTTGTCCAACCGGAGAACCAGACTTGTAACACATGAATATGGTCATTTTGCTCGGGGTATTTTCAAATAACTTACGATGAAATATTCCATTCCTCCAAGTTTATAAATAATAATAACCCTATGTTACAAGTTTCAAAATATATTATTTATTACAAGTTATTATGACGCTATCAATTTTAGGTCACATTTTCTCTTATTTTAAAATTAATTTAATTTAAAACGTGACGCCAAACCACTCACCATGCATACGCCTTTCTCATCGACAATCGCATTCATATCGTACTTGCAATTTTGATATTTCATTGCCAAACGTGATCATCCTAGTTACAGCCTTGTTTTTCTGGATCTGAGAAGCGGAAACGACGTTCTCCCAGCGAGAGAAAGGTATCACATATGATAGTACTGTATGTGCTATAAAAAGACACACGATCTATTGGATTTATCTATCGTTGATTCATATCGCTGATTTAGAAAGTGATTATGTGTTCCTGAAATAATTTTTTATGTTGAATTTATCTATCGTTGATTGACATCCTGATTAATAAAGTGATTATGTGTTGCTGATATGATGAAATAAATTATGCGAAAATTGTTACTATAATTTGCTTTGATTTATGACATTCAGTTGTGAAGTAATGTTTAAGTATAATATTGACATAAGAAGGAATGATTGTGATTTAGTGATAAGTATAATATTGATATATGAAGCATAATTATAAGTAGACTCATGTACTAGCATACTATTACAAATGCTGTAATTTGATTGGCTACTCGCTATATCTATTCCTCGATAGATAGCGAGTGGCAAAACAATCATTTTCCTGGCTCATTTTTTTTTTTAATGTGGCTAATTCCATTATCAAATTATTGAATTATTTTGTGGAATATTTTATATTTGATCTCTGATTCTACTAAAACAATTAGATTACTCGCTCTGGATTTCTATGAGGTGATAGTTGATTAGGGCTTCGCCCTCATCAACTATATCACCTCATAGAAATCTCGAGCTCGTAATCTAATTGTTAGATATACATTGAATGATTGTGATTTAGTGATAAGTAATATATTGATATAGTTAATTATAGTTATATACATGGAATGATTGTGATTGCAATTAATTAAACGTCGTGAGTTGTATATATTTCATACATATATTAATAAATAATAATAGTTCCTAGGTAATAAAATAAATTGTTCAAGTTAAAGTTTCTCAGAATTTCCGATCCAAGCTATAAGGTCCTGGAAAACACCGTGAACAACTTCTCCTAATGCGGAATACTTGGGAACGGAGGAGAGGAACAAGAGATCTTTTAGATTTTCTTTGTATGCATCTTGATTTTAACTGCTTATTAAAAGTTGCACTGGTTGTAAAAAAGCTCGAATTCTGTCGTAGTAGTGTTAGCAGTGAACCAAGACATGCAGGTCCCAAAGATCCATGCACCCGTGTTGTTGCAGCTAAAGATGGCTTTTGTGCACCTATATCTGGAATTATATTTTGCGTAATGTTGATTTTTTGAGACGTGTTTTTGAACGCTTTTCTTCATCAACTATACCTTAATTGATAGCAGCTACAGTTCCCAGAGAATATCTCAGAGGTATGGTTTGAACGGAGGCGAACGAGACGAACTTGTATCCTTGATGGAAAAGCGCTGGATCAATAGCTTTAATGCGACGTTTGGCATCAAACCAATCTTTCAAAGTTTACGCGTGTTGACCATCAAAGGATGTAGCAACCGCCTATAAACCTTCCAGTCCTTTAGTGTGTCGTACTGATTGCGTCTTTTGTACAAAAACGTTTAACATTGTCATGCGGATCTTAGTATTTCTACCATTTAGGGGCTGTTTACCTGATCCCGTTTTTCCAGGACTGGATGGAAGGCCGGATAAGTCGTATTGAAATAAATCACTGAAACGAGGGTTCAAACGACGGTGAGAAGGTCAAAGAAGATTATTCCTGCACAAACAATCTTTCGTTTACAATTACACTATAATCTAGATCACGAGAGGAAAATAATGTAGTTTTGCTGAATCGTGTGCCGTGACTTATTTCAATACATCAAAATCACTCCGCTTCACATCTCGTCCCGGCAAAGCGGGATCATGTAAACATCCCATTATATAGTGAGTCGTAACATAACTTAAAACGCGAGAAGAGGACTATACTGGTGTTAGACAAAGATCATTATGTTATTTCTGTAATTCGTTTCATAATAAAATTAATTCTATATTTCTTGATATTCCAGTCACCTTCGAAATGGTTTGCTATCGCATACAAAGAAGCAATTGCTCATGCGGGTTCACCTGATCAGTTCGGTTCAGGAAATTCACAAAACTTCTACCATTTCGAAGGTAAGATCATTGTAGACAATTATTTGTTTATAGGTTTGTGGAATGGAAACCCCATGTGTAATTCCTGTATTGGAAAGCTGTCGATGTTTACGCCCGAATCGTTATCACTCAGCGCTAATAAAACTCTTTAATATAAATGATTTTAACGATAAAAGAACCTACCAAAAAGTGTTTCACCTGATTCAGTAGTCTGCGTGTCAGGCTCTATGCTTTAGCGTACGATTCGTACACAAAATTCCCATTGGTCAGAAATAAATAGCCTTGCCTTTTAAGGTAGTATCAAATTGTTGGTTACGTAGTATGATATTCTGTACTTGTAATTGTACTTTTGGCCGCATTAATTACTGCCTTTACTGTCTATAAACACGGTCAATAACCGTTATTATTAAGGCGATGAGAACATGAAAAATCTGAGTGGGGATTACACGATAAGGCTGTATTGCCTTCCTCTAAACAGGTTTTTCTGGTTAGGACGAAACAAAAGTCCGACTTTTTTGAGTGACAAACGACTGGGTCAAAGCCGACCCCTGACTCGAATATAATATTACGAACACTTATTAAACAGTAATAAAGTAACGCTATAAAACTGCAAGAGTAAAGGCTAGTTTCCACTCAGGAAAATTATCCGTGGACTGGAACGGACAAGAAAATTTTTCTTCAAAAACTTTTTTTAACGAGAACAAATAATGACAACTTAATACTT